AAAAATCCGGTGCCCTTGTGCTTCCTGATTTGGTCGCAGTACAGGATGGACTTACTTCAGGCAAGTTAAACTGTTAAAAAAGCCTTCTTTTCACCAAAAAACAAGTTGTCCTTTGTACAATTTTTATTTTTTAATCTCCTTTCCATTGATGAATATTATTACTAGTGGTGACTTGCTGCCTTCTGCTTGTTTAGCTTATTTTAACACCCATTGTGACCTTTTTGCGTGGGTTCCCATGGGGAAGAAAATGCCAGGTTTTGTAATGGCAGTTTTCACTAGCTCACTTATAAAGATATCTGATTCTAATGTTATCAGTGCTATTCTGGCTTTTTCTCAACAATCTTTGATTATGTGTCTATGTGAATGAAATTTAATCTAGTTTGGGATTATACATTTTGATGAGACCGAGTTGCTTGTATACACTTCTGTCTTGCAGGTCTGTCGCTATAATTAGAGGTGGGAATTTGGGCCCAGACCCAAAAACCCACCCAAAAAACTGGGCTTAAGACTGCATCGTCACAAAGACCAGTCCTATAAGGTTTGGTCCCAAAACCAGACCAGGCCCATGGAGGAGGGCTTTCTTCTGACTCTTCTGGTCAAATTCATTTACTCCAAAGTGAAACTGAAGAGTGAGAAACCGCAGCACCGCTTGATTCGTTTGCTTTGTTTGTTTCGAATTTTGCTATTCCAAAAACAAAAACGCTTCTTGGCAACAGTTTTTAATTATTTGAAGTGCACGCTACCCGTTTGATAAAAATTCTCTTTGAAACTCATTGTTCTGTTTTCAACTTTTGTTTGGAGTAAAACATGAGCTGAAATGCCAACCGTTTTCGCTTTTCTTTAATACTACTGCCTGGTTCATGGAATGAGCATTGTTATGGACTGATTTCAAGCATTCGCCATGTGGGTTTATGATGGTTTAGTTGTTTTTGTTTGTGATTAAACAGTAGTGTAACTAATGGAGAATGACAAGAGAGCTGAGCTAGTGAGCTTTTTGAAAGCTGTTCCCTCTGTAGAATTCTGCTGTGTTTATGGTTCCACTTTGCATCCAAACAATAAAGACAAGGTTTCACTTTGTTTTACTTTCGCGTTCTGTTGATTTTTTTTAGTGTCGCATTCATTTTACTTTAAAAGTTAGTGTTTTTTATCTTTTAACATATGAGTTTATGTTTATGCAGTCAGCCATGGTAGATTATATTCTCGGAGTGTCGGATCCTCTGCAATGGCATTCTCAGGTGTGATCATGTATAATATAGAGTGTTTGTTGATTAAAATTGATTTCTGTTAGGAAAGTATGCTATTTGATTTTCTAACAAATCTTATTTGGTTCGTCGTACGACCTAGAATCTGAAAATGAATGCAGATCATTATGCTTCGTGGTTGAGGTTGCTTGGCGGGGCAAAGCTGGTGTTTCTCTCTCTCCCTATTTCTCTTTCTATCTCTCAACTCTCTGGCACACTCCTAACAGATGTTGAAATTTCATTTTCTTATACTTAGACTAAAATTTGGTTGGTTTTCTTGTCCCAGATTACACAAATTGCAGATGAAATAGGTGTAGGAGTACACTTCAACCCGTTTGTTACCTGGAATGATAAGGTACTGACTTTTCAAAAACTTAAATCTGATGACTTAAATACAAGGACTATATGTGTGTGTGCACACTTGTGCGGAACTGGTTCCAACTTATTGTCCATGAACAAGGAGTTCTGGATTTAGGCATGAAATGCACCTCCAATCATTTTCTTGCATTTATTTCTATGATGAATTGAAATTTCCTGTGTTTTAATGCATGAAACAATGATGGGCAGATGTTGAAGTATGGGGTTGTTGGAATGCATGACTTGGTTCAGGACATGCTGAACTGGGAGAGATTCTATTTAAGTGGTCGCCTACAGAAACCGGTCTGCCTTCCTGATTTTCCCTTTTTTTTTTTTATAAATTTTTAGCATTTCTTCTTAATTGTAATATGCATCAAAATTTCTTCCTTGGGAACCAGTGTCATAATTTCAGCAAAAGGACTAGGAAATCAGACCTAGCAGTCACACCTTCAACAGAGCTTCAAAGGTGGCTGAAGATCTTGTTTTTTTTGTTTGTTTTCAAATTGACCGTTTTACAAGATTTTAGACATAGGTACTGTTAATCTAAAGCAAAAGTCGTTGTGCTACAACTATCCTGTCTTTCCTTAATCATTTAGTGCTCAGTCCCTAACAAATTCAGCCCTGGATTTAACATTTTTCTTTTTCTATATAACCTGCTAGTTTTTCTTAATTTTCTACAATAACATCTCCATGGATAAATTGCTAGATCTCATGCCAACTAGTTAATATAAAGCCCTGAAACAATCATTGCTTGAAGCTAAGATGTTGTAGGCTGACAAGCTGCCAAGTATAATGTTACTATAATGTGCATGACTGACAAACGTGTATGGTCCTTATATTGCTTAGATGTCATTTGACATGTGATCATATCAATGATAGGAGATCTTATGTTTAGCTAATTATTCTTAATTCCTCTTCTCCTGAGCTGTGCTTTTCATTAGCTATCTTCTGCTTTCTTTGCACTGATTTTGGTTCTTAATCATTACCTGAGATCTGAAAATTGAGTTTGTGGTCGCATATATCAGTATTATTTACCAATCTCAGGGAGCTTGGTGTTGCTTGTGCAGGTACACATACTTGTGGATAATCTGGATATGGCAAATACAAACTCTGTTAATTTGAGGGCTGCGTTGTCTGCTGCTCTTCTTCTCTAGCCCTCCAAGTTCACACAGGTTTGCTTACATGTTACTGCTCATTCATTTTAGAGTTGCTAGAGTTATGATTAGGTCTTTGATTGTGCAGGAAGATCTGTGCCAAAGTATGTAGCCTTTCATATATGGGAGATTTGCGTATGCTTTTTGCAGAGGACAAAAACAAGGTACGGCTTGATCACACCTATATAAAACATTGAGAAAATTGATTTGTGGCTTTCAATAGCATTGATTTGCATAGTTCATGGTTGACTCTCTCATGTTGTGAATTTTATGAAAGAGTCCCTCTCTTCCTCCCTTTGTTTCACTCCATCAATATATTACAGTTATGTTAATAATAAGAGTTATACAAAAGTGAACAAGAATTTCTTTTGTTCCCCGAAAGTTTCTGGTTTTCATGTATAAAATTTGCCTCAGGTGAAGAAGATTGTCCAAGGACAGTTTGATTTATTCCACTTAATGTATAAGCCATTTCTTGAAGAATATGAGGCCAAAGACTTCTTGAGAGTCTCATCATCTGGAACTGGCCAAGCAAATATATCACAGGTTTGTAAAATTTGAATCAATACCCAAATACTTGATTATGTATTGGCCTCAAACCAAATATGACATACATATGTACAATTTAGCAGAACCTCTATTTACTCTTGTTACTTATAATCAATTCTTGATAAGGGCTCTGTTATCCATCTAACTTGGTTTTTATTTTCTTTGAAATTATGATTTCTCCATTTTCAGTTCATTGTTCCATTGTTTACTACATATTTTGTTCTGGTGAAAGTAAATTGTTTTTCATGATAAATTTAAGAAAAACATTTTTAAAAACTTGTTTTGTTAAGGAAACTGTTGTTTGAACAGCATTGTTCTCGTAATCTTATGCTTTAAAGCTTCAAGTTCTTATATGTTTCTGTCGCTTGAATCAGGATTGTGGCTTGCCAGTCACTTGCTCCCTCGTGTCTTCTCTTCCACCAGCAATTAGAAGTCAAATGGGGATGAAGCTTGGAGAGAAGAAGAGAATAAATGAATATGGTATGAACTTCAGCTGGTACACAGATTAATAGGAAATATTATTTTCTGAGGCAGTGTACAAATTAAAACTTATTCTGCATCCAATTTTCTGTAAGAGAACATGTGATGGAAAATTTTCATTAGACCTTCTATACTTAATCCTGGTTACTTGAATGATTCTATAAAATAACATTTTGCAGGTCCAGCTATAAATGAAGTCATAATCGGTTCAAGAGAAGAGGCAGCTAAATGCATGCAGAAGGTTCTGCGACTAACCGTAATGGTTTCAAGTGCAAGACAGGCAGTGTCTGGTCTACTTGCTGTTGGTGGCATCAATGCTACTAGATATCTTGCTAACAAAATGCAGAAAGCTTGGAAATCCTGGACATAAAACTACCCAATTTTTATGAGATTTGGTAAGGTAGATTATAACTTTCAAAATGAGAGTGCATTATCTTTACCACAAGCTGCCCTACCCTGACTGTAAGTTATAAATTTTGCAGATCAACCAGTTTTATACTTCCATTTCGTAGTTAGTTGTTCGTTTGTTGAGGTAATTTTGGGAGCAAGCAAGCCCCATCTTTTGTAATGAACAATATCAAAAAGAAAAAAGAAAACACCATTTAAGATACTTTTATTTTGAGATTATTATTAGTCTTTGAATGGGAACAGAAATAACCAAAGTACCAAACAAACACTAGCATTATCCAGTACAAAGATTATTTACATGAATCCAGTCATAACATAGGGAAAAGTATATCTTCCCTTGAGGTTTCATGAAATTATTCAACACACCATAAGTTTCAGAAAATAACAAATACGCCGAACATAACAATTCTTGACAAAAATAAAAAGAAAAACATCACAATAAGCAGGAATCAGAATTGAAACGTCTTGCACTTGCTCAAGACTTTTGACAGATTCTCCAGAATGCTGCAAAAAATAAATAAATAACAATACAAGTTAATAAGTAAAAATGTCAGAGCTAAGTATTAAATTTTTACCAATAAAATTCTTAGTAAAATTATATTCCGCAAACAAGCATCAAAAATCCAAATATCTTTCTTTAAAAATCTTCCTACAGGATACCTGAAAACTGATTGGTATAATAGGCATAATCAGACCTTGTTGACATTTAACATCAAATACGGATCACAAAATAAAAGATATAAATTGGAATAGGAGACATTGGATTAAGAAAATTTATAGGAAGGATTTATACATTAAATATCATAAAAAATGATCACACTTCACTGATCCATGTAGCAGAAACAATGCACATGGAGTTGGACACTACAACAACAAAACATGAATCCCAAAATTATAAAAATATATTTATAGCTTGTAGTGGATGCCAAGAATAGAGCATATCCTTGAATTCGGTAATGCTTATAAGCTATTGAGAAATAGAAATAAATCAATTTTTTCTTGAAGGGTATGTTCCATCAATAACATTAAAAGTTAACTCATATATATAAACAAATTTACCAGGCTTTATAACAATGAAAATAAGAGGGATTTTTTTCACATACCTGATCACTCATTGTCCCCGGATGGTGAAGGAACTGCAGGGTCAAGAATTAGAAATAAATAAATTTTTCCTTGAAGGGTATTCCAACAATAACATTATAAGCTAGGTTATATAAACCATTTACCAGGCTTTATAACAATGAAAATAAGAGAGAGTTTTACACATACTTGATCTCGATGATGAAGCAATTTCAGGGTCAAGATGAATGTTCTGGACATGATCAATGTTTGACCAATTCCTTCTGCAGCTTTCACTCAGGGTAGGAGATTTTTGTATCTTCAATTCTTTAAGGGCAGTGAGTTTCTCCATCCCGCATGGCAGAGATGACAATTCTGAGCAACTTACAATCTCAAGTTTTTGAAGTGATGTGAGATCTGTAAGCCATGGTGGCAGTGTTGTGAGACTGGAACATGAATCAATCCGCATGTACTCTAAAGTGTTGGCAGACTTTTGAAGAATCAATTGGGGTAAATCTATTGTTTGGTGTAGTTCATAAATCATGAATACTTTAAGGTTCAGGCGGCGGTCTTCTTCTTGCAAGTCCATCGTCAAATTAAGGTTTGAACAACTGTGGATCACAAGCTTCTCCAATCTCTCTAGATATGTTATATCGTCTGGCAAAAAAAACATGTTATCACAACCTTGCAAAATGAATGTTCGGAGGTTGATGAGACCTTGCATCTTTCCTGACAAATCTAGAAGATGGTGACAGCTATACAAGTGCAGAAATTGGAGAGAGTGCAAATATTCAAGTTCATTTTCCAGTTGATGCCTCACTTTTGTGGTTATTTCCAAATATCTGAGGTTGATCAGTTTTCGCATATTTTCAGGAAACTTCTTAAGTCTTGAACAACCAAGAAGTATTAAGGTTTGCAAACTCTTAAGTTTACAAATTGCCTCCGAGAGTTCCATCATATTTAAATTCCAAGATAAGTCAAGATATCTCAATTGTTCCAATGAACCGACAGAATCCGGTAGCACTTCAAATTGTAAACCACTTAAGCATAACAGGCGGATCTGCTTAAACTTCGATGTCCATCTATTAACGAAGGATTGAGTAACAGGCTGAAATGGAGAACTTTTCATGATGATTGCCAACAAGGACGGTTCAATATATGAAAATTCTGTATCACCGTCTTCAATACCATGAAATGACAAATATTGAGCCCGTATTTTAGGATAAATCACTCTGAGATCCACCCTTTTGCAATCATTTTCTGCCTCTTTTAGCACAAGATCATACATAAGATCATGCAATTTAAATGTACTATAATAACCATGATTTACCACATCTTGAAAGAAATTCTTAAGAAATAATTCCTTCAAATATCTCTCCCCGATATCTTCCAACTCTTCGTTATTGTCACCAGAATGAAGAAAATCTTGCGCCATCCAATAATGGATCAGATAATGACTGTTAAAACAAAAACCCTTTGGAAATAAGGAACAATGCTTCAAGCAAATTTGCAAATGAGATGGCAAACTCTCATAGCATAATTTCAACATGGGTAGGATGTTATTGTTCTCTTGGATTTCCCTCCAGAAGTAATTATCTTTAATTGGCAACCAATTACCCGGATCTGAGCATTGATATAGGACTCCTAAAATTTTCACTACTAAAGGAATCCCATCACATTTCTCCACAATTTCAATGAGGTCTTGATGTTCATTGTTTGCTTGATATCCAAATGCATATTTCACAAACAACGACATACTATCCTTATGGGAAAGACCTTCTAAAACATGACTGTCAATGGTGCCTATATCGCTTGCAATTTGGTTATTATGGGTAATAACCAAAAGTTTACATTCATCGGCTGACCTCTGCAGTAGTTTCACGAAGTAATTCAAATTATCATCATTTTCATTCACCACGTTGTCCAAAACAAGCAAAAATTTCTTCCTAGACAATGCTTCTGTCAAGAGGGATTCCAAGTCTCTCACCAATATTAATTTATCAGGATTTTGATTGGTTGCAAAACAATAAGTTCGTCGCATCAAGAAAAATATATCAAAGTCCACAGGTACACATATCCACATTTTGAGATCAAAGTGATCATCCATCCTTTTGTCATTATACACCAGTTTGGCTAGGGTGGTTTTTCCTATACCTCCCTTCCCAACTATAGTAGTTACAGTTACAGTTAACTCATAAGGGTTTGTTTTCAGCAAAGAATTTATAACCTTTTCCTTATCAGCGTCTCTCCCGAAAACTTCGCAAGTATCAACGAAGGTGTCACTTACTACCCAGTCCCTCGGATAAACACACTTAATGTCAGGTAAATCCTGATCACGGTCACGCATAATAGTAGCTGCCATTCCATCTAACCTTTTTCTAATCCACATGATCTTACGATAAAATATGAAGCTCAAAATGAAATTGCATACCTGGGGCCTGTCACTTGCCAATTTATGCAACATATCCTCAGCAGCAATCAACATCATGGCAGAGTCTTCCAGTCTATTCTGTGGTAGCTGTGTCTCGGCATACAAGAGTGCGACTTTGACCATGGACACCATTCCTTGAAGCTTCTTTATTTCTCTTCGAAGATTCCTCAAAAAACATGGTTTTTTGGATTCAAGTTCCGTTATCGTCTCCAAAATATTTGTTGCAATACTGGACAGTACTGGGTCTCCCATGTTCTTTGAGTGGAAGGAAGAAAAAAGGGTGCACTATTGGGTAACGAATTAGCTGAGGAGTACCACGTGAGAAATGATGCTTTTAACTTCGTACGAATTCTTAATATGTGAAGATTTTAGAGCGGACTTGAAAGAAAAGTACAAAACAGAAAAATGTTTGACAGTGAAGTAAAGAGTAAAGTGAGCTGAAGAATTGAAGAACAGAGATTTTTATTAACTGATTAACAACAGAAGAACGCTGCACTTATATAGCAGCTACAGCCTACAAGATCAATAAAACGTCACCGTATGACAATAAAGTCTTAATCTTTCACAAAACAGACATCAAGTCTTAGTCTTTTACAAAACAGACCCTAGAGTATTAATGTAACTTCTAATTGTTACAAAGACACCCTTGTCACTCACTCTCATACTCAATAATATGGAAGGGCTAATCTCATACTACTACACTCATAAACTTTTCTCACTAACTTTATCTCACAAACCACGTCAGTGTTTGTGAGAGAAAGTTATGAGAAGTGTTTATCAACATATCTTTATTCATCTTCTAATTCTCCTTTTAAGTATAACTGAATGACAAAAATCTTTTTATAATACTAAGAGCGCGTTTGGTTCAGGGAACGTCAGATTACTAGAAATGTTGGATTATTGGAAAGTTAGATTACCTTAAAGATTACTGGAAATATTTATGAAAATGTGTTTAGTTAGTTGGTGGGTATGTTATATTAATATGTTTAATTGAGAGGAATAAATTGGCGGGTATGTTATTTAAATTATTGAATTGTCCTCTAATTAAATATTATTATTTAATTTAGATTATTATAACCCCCATACATTTAAAAACTTAGCAAAAACAACCCCATAATAAAAGTTTGGAAATGGCGCAACCTAACAGCACATGGAAGGCTTTTTGGACAAAATTACCCTTGAATTCAAAACAAAATGCAGTCCACCAAGCCACCACCCCCTCTTGTCGCCGCCGGCTACCGACAACCACCATTGGCGGCCAGCCGCCGCCACGGCTCACGGAAGGCCGAAAATAGCCGCTGTGCGTCGATATGGCCATTTCCGACTAGAGATCTGGCCAGACTTGATGGACTGCATTTTGTTTTGAATTCAAGGGTAATTTTGTCCAAAAAATTAATTAATTGGGGTGAAATAGTAAATGTCATATTCATGTAAATTAATTTAAAAGTAAGGGTATTATTGTCTTAAAATTTTATTAATAAGGAATAAAATTATAACAAAAAAAAAAAAAAAAAAAGATTATCTTAGTAATCTTATAATACCTAAGAAAATGAAGATAATCAAATTACTTCCAATATTACCAACAATAACTATTATTGATATTTAAAGATTATCAGAATCTTGTATTACTTGACAACCAGACGTGGTAATCAAATTTTATAAGATGACATAACTTCAGTAATCTTACATTAACCCCCAACCAAACGCCGTAAGAGAAATCTCCTGACTATCAAGTTTTTATTAGTTAAAATAAATATTGAGAAGCAATTAAGTAAATATTTATTGACCCATCATATTATATATTCTAACATTACATTAATAGCTTACTAACAATTTTATTTTACGTTATTTCTGAATTTTTTTAAAAAAAATTGTTATTTGATTAAACTTCAAGGGAGTCGAGGTCAAAACCCTTGTATTGAAAGAAGGCAACTTCATTTACGAGCTCATGGGGTGAACCGTGGACTTAAAATGCAGCCAAACATTATTACAAGATTTTACAATGAATAAGAATTCGATTTTGGTATGAGCTCTTTGAGTTTTTAAAGATCCCATGACACTTGTTCATTAATGATAATATATAATTATGATTTGTTTCTTTTTAATCAATTGCCAATCATATCCCTATGTTTTGTTCAGATTAAAATCAGATCAAGAGAGGATCTCGATCCACGTACAACCCGACAAAATTTTACTATTATACTTGAGTAACGTCACATTACACTAAAAATAGTTGCATTAACATTAACAGGTCCATATTTAATTCTAATAAAATAATAAATATAGCAAAACATGTTTTTTTAAGAAAAAAAAAAAAAATACACGTACGTGGAAAATATAACAACACAAATTATTAATTATTGTTTGTATTATGATAAAACATTCTCACTTAATTGTTATCTTCTTAATAAAAACGTTTAAATTAAATTATGAATCTTATATATTGAGGAAAAGAAATCAAAATAAAAGGAGATATAAAATAAATAATTGAACATTGATTTATTTCAAATAAAAAAATAAAGAAAAATAAAATAAAATACCTAAGATAAATTTTAAAATCGTTAAAGGAAAGAGTGATATTACATATATAATGCACGTATACAAACTCCTATTTATTACACTCATAAAACTCTTTAAAAATCTGCGTAAACTTACAATGGGTAGCTCATAATTTAAAATCTGTAGAACTCCTAATGGTTAGCACTTAGCACGTGTATCAATCTTTATTTAAATATAGGGTCATTGACAAAACAATCCACGTATCTAGTCTAGTATATATACATTCAAATTTCTTTCAAAATTTTACAGCAAAATCATTATATATTACAGTGATATATGTACGTGCATCGATGCCCCAGAATATTTTCTTCAAATTGGGGTAGAAAAAACAAAAAGGGTTTGCCAGCTGGCTGTAATGTGAATTGAAATAGTAATACGACAATTTTCAAAGAGATTTATTATAAAGAAATCTTAAGGAATTGTAGGAGGCAATATTGTCACTACATCTACATCCATCTAGATTTGCTGCAAGCCACCATTATGGATAAAGTAGTATTAATTACTCTTAACAAAATTTGAATTTAAAATAAAATATACAAAATAATTGGATATTCAACCACTTAGGTTAGGGCGAATGGCAAGATTCAGAGTTGCCTAAAAATATTATGATCAAGTCTCACAAAGGGATTACATATCACATTTGTGACTTATATAACCTATTGGGTTTATAGGGTATTCAATGAACTCCAGAGATTAATTAAGGTATACATAAACTAGCTCGAACACCCTGGTTACCAAAATAAAATAATACAGTTGAACTTCTCTATAGTCATAATGTTTGGACCAATTAAATTTATTACTATAAGAGGGTTATAATTTAATAGAGGTATAGTTACAAGAATTATTGTTTTAATTTCTTATTTTATAATTCATGTTTTAGTAGTATTAGGATTTTAATTTATTATTTTAATAGCATTAAGATAGTACGGAAATGGATATCAAAGAGTCATTGTAAAATTGAGTGATCAAATTCGATAACTTCACTATACTAGTCAAAGGGATATTAATGTCTTTCTTAATAATCTAAATGAGCAACAAGTTGTATATGTTTTAACTGAAAAAGAAATCATTACTGGAATTAGACAAGAAGAGAAAAAAAATAATATTGTGGATGATAATACGAAAATATCAAAAATTTCATGCCAAAAAGCTCTAAACATGCTTGAGAGTTAAAAATATTTTGGCTTCAACAATAAGGTGTTCATGCTAATGGCTTATTATGTACCCACAAGATAAAAGATGTGGTAACAATTCTAAAGCATAAATCATTGTTCCAAATCATTTTAGATAAATATTTTATTTCATCTTAAACCTTTAATGTAAAATAGCAAATATTTTTTTGCAACATGCATATATTTATTACTATGTAAAGGCAAGTTCCTGAAGACGGAACCTATAAAAATTATAATTTATTACAATGTAAACTTTATTCTTATTTATAACTGGACCAAGATGGAACCTAAAATTTTTATAATTACATGAAGATTATTAATATAAAGAATATCATATTATAATAAATATGACATTGACACATTCCTCACCTTTATTTACCGATTTTTTTTTTTTTTTTTTTTCTCTGTACTTTAGTTTGATGATACTAAATTTTCTGCGGATACGTTAATCTGGAGCTTCATCTTAAAAAACTCACCTATATAAAGCAAGTTAGACAACATATATATATATATATAGATCTCACTCAACATGGATGGGCATGTGAGACTGTTCTTGTTCTTATTTGTGGATGTAGTTCTCAAGGAAATTAATTAATTAATTAAGTGGTAAGTACATTAATTTGCTGCCAGAGGTTTGGTTTAAAAACAGACTACGCGGTGTTGAAAAGAGTGATTAGCACTTTAGCAGTACTAAGCCTAGTTAGTAAATATGGGTACGGTAAAAAAATAGTATAGAAATTTTATGGGTATAATACGACAAACGATGAAAAATTCGTTTATAAAAATTTGGTCATAAGATTCGGATACGGAAAAAATACGGTATGGGTATATACGGATTTAATACGGTACATTGTTAATAATACGTTTTGAAAAATACAACAATATCAATCTTAGTTTTAACATTTTTATGGATTACCTGGTTAAAATCAATATAACATTTCAAATGCAAATTATTCAATTAACTAATAACACAAATACACAATATATAAATATAACTGATATTCAAATTATAGTATTCAGACTCAAACACAATATTTAGCCAAGATTTAACTATAGTGTCAAATCAAACATAGTCATAACAAAACCAATTGTTTACAAAAATTACAAATACACATTGCAGTCAGTTTACAAAAATTACAAATGTACAAGTAAAACTTAAAACTTAAAAGTAAATATTTTATTAATTTTTCTCCCTCCTTTCTCTTCTCTTTCATTTTCTCGTTCTTTTCAAAACTTTCTTCTCTCTTTCTTCTGTAAGTTTCTTCTCTTCTTTCTCTTTCTTTTTTCCACCTTCTCTTCAGTCTTCACTTCCTTCTTAAAAGTTAAACCTTCATCTCTTTTGTATAAAGTATAAACTTATGTCTATACAAAAGAGACGAAGGTTGTGAAAATTGATTATTTGCTGGAGTTGATTGTTGTGTGTTGATTGTGGGAGTTGATTGATTGTGAGAGTTGATTGCTTGTGGAAATTTGTGAGGAAGAAAAGCTGAAGAAGAACTGAGGAAGAAGAAGAACTGAACT